CTAGACCCCCAAACCCTGAACCCAAGACCCTGGGATTGCTGGAATTTGGGTCTGCTATGGTCATTCCGAAACCTTACCTGGACCTCCCCAATAACCATAATGTAGCACTGAACACCAGCATAACACGCATATGGCCGTTTAGTACGCATATTTGGAAGGTCAAGGCACCCTAAACACTATAAATGCATGTCTACATATACATATGTATATACATANNATATATATATATATTTACATACATGTGGCTACATGGGTATATCCCCATATATCCCGTTCAAAGGACCCCATGCGCTTTTGAGCAGTTTTCGAGCAAGGCACTTGACAAACTTTCACCGTCGGCAGTGACCAGTTGGAGAATCCGTCGAAGGTGTTCCACAAGGCATCCTAACATGGCTCACCCCAAGGATCCACATAACCCGATGTAGGAAACAATTACAAACTCAAGGGCCCAGTGTAATTACTTATGATGTGTATACCTGGATCCCTAGGGTAAGGGCCAAGCTAGAGATCAAAAGGGTAGGGCGTAGGTATCTTCAGTTTAGAGCGTACGGTCCAGAGCTAAGGGTCTAAACCCTAAACCCCAAACCTTCAACCCTAAACCCTAAACCCTAAACAGAGGATATAGAGCCAAGGGCCTAGGGTCTGAGAGTTTACTGACTTGCCATTCTGGTGGATCCCCAAACCCTAAACCCTAACCTACCCTAAAACCCCTAAACTACCCTAAGCCCTAAACCACAAGTCCTAAACCATTCCCATGCGGGGGGCTTCCAGGAAGGGCAGACTTGCCCTTATCACAGAAGAATGTTCAAACTGCACCGCTCGCCTCTCAATAAAGAGATTGAGAACTCTATCTAGTCTAGTCTCGGCGTGCAACTACCCACGACTTTCGCAAGATCGAAGGCCCCAAGCGACCCCACTAGCACTTCTTGAGGACAACTTTTGAAATTCCATCCTCCAGAATAGCTTCAACACAAAGCTCACACGTAAAATGTTGGACCGCATCGTATATCATAGTATATTAGGGGTAAGTTTAGGGTTTAGGGTTATATTGGGACCAAAATGGAAATCACTATATAGGGCTTACCTTTCCAGGTAATGTTAGGGTTATATTGGGGTTATATGTGGATAATCGAAAAGAAAATGGACGCTACTATAATAGGGTATGTATTTTAAAGTGTATAATGGAGTTTGCGATTTCCTGTGAATATTGCCTGGCCCTCGCGCAAGCCTCACTTGGTACTAGATTAAGACGTTATATGTCATTTGAACCCAAAGTACCTAAATAGGAACCAATTTGGGTTAAACGTGTATATGACTTAGGTACTTGGACCCTGAGGAAATGGAATAGCAACTGCAGAATCAGCTTCTAATGCGTATGTCCTATGCAACCTGGCAAAGAAAAAATGACCTCACATGAATTTACTGTCTAAATCTTCGAGTCGAAGCTGAGATTCCACAACTTCACAACTTTCTAGGTTGACAAAGGCATAGCCCAAGTTCGCGTCGCGCGTGAAATCGAACGGAAGGTACACAAAGTTGTAAGCTCCTCCGAAGACATGACTTTGCATTGAAAGTTGAAAGCCATTGTGAGAAACAAAACAGCATCACACTCGCAGTTGGTTGACATCTCTTTCGGATAAGTGATGCTTTCGGTGGTGACGAAAACAGGCCACTTTTTCCATGCTCTGGTTGAGAGTCCTAACAGCAATAGAACATGCCGGCCCTAACTTTTTATACGACAAACGGAGTGTGGCATTTAAGATAGAGGGTATTCGCTCCCCCTTCTGCTACGGTGCAACCACTATACAAAAAACAATGGTTCAGAAATACAACCGCAACGCCACCCGGACAACACCCGGACAAATTGCCTTCTAGCTGAGACTGCAATGATACCTGACAATCTGAGGCCATTTCTTTCTGGCTCGGCCTGGAAAACCCTTACGCAAGAAATGTAGGGACTACGTTTCTGCTTTCGGGTAGGGTCAGGCCCCTCAAGCCCTCCGAAGCAAGAAATCAGTGGGCTGTGCTTCTTGTTTTGGGGGTTCGTTATTATGCATAAGCAGGGGTGGAGGCTCTTTGGAGTAAGGTTTTGACTATATCTCAAGTACCGCAAGGAGCATAGGCTCGAAGCATTGAATACGAAAGCGGCCGAGAGTGCAAGGCTACCCAACATCTAAAAAATGGAAGTGAAACAGCACTACTAAGCCAAGAAAAAGAAACTACCTTATGCTCGCTGGGTCCATTTGTTACCCCAAGGTGCACTGTGGTCTGTGGTAAAAACGATGGTGCGATAGAAGCACTCATTCAAGTGCTGCTTCCTCTGCTACTATCACAAGCAACATCACGACGGCAACCCGTTCTTTTCCGAAAAGAAGCTGGTTGTGCGTTTCCGGTTTAGAGGACCCCCGGCTGCCCCAACCAGCTTCGATTCCCTGTCTTAGGGTTCAAGTTCCAGCTTTTGTGTTGTTGTTGTTGAAGGTTTTCTATCGGTTGCGCTGGCGTCTCATCGCCCCAGTTTTGGTCGGCTGCTTTGCTTGAAAGGCTGAACAGGTTGAGCAAGGCTCTTAAGCTTAGTATCGTTGCCCGGGCTCAGGGGCCATTCATGAAACAAGACAGGGGCCTGAAAGATCACGCAAATGTAGTCTGACCCTCCCCCCCCCCCGCTGGAAAACCGTAAAACTGAATGTCTTTGGGGTCTATGGTTGGGGGTACTACATCTGTGTACAACACTTGTTTGTACAACACTTGGGACACATGCTATGTGTATCTTTGAGGCTCGAACATGTTTGTTTGCTGAGTCTATTTGACATCGGGATGTCTGGTTGCAAGCCTTGTCAAATAGTCCCAGGGACCCCCGACGATGAGCCCTCCAGTTGCCGTCTTTGACGAGCTACTTCTTTCGTCTCCATTGAAACAGAAAATGCTGGAGGTGCAACAACCTTCCTAACAATGGCAACCGCACTGTGTTGGGGATGCCGAGCACTTGAAGTACCCTTTGATGTCCCCGATGAGGTACCACTATGAGCTATTAGTTCCCTATTAGGACCCTATTAAGGGTAGATTAAGGTACCCTTAGCCCATAGTGGTACAGCAAGCTTTCCAAGCCCACGAAGCCGGCGAAGCAACTCTGAATCTGCACGGCATGCTAGGGAACCCCAAGCAGGAAACCCCAATAATATGGTAGGAAACTACTAGAAATGTAAGACCCTGGCTGGTCCTACAATATTCCTGCTATATTCTTGGGGTTCCCTGTTTGATAATTGCCGTTATCATCGCAATATATGTGGGCCTGATCTTGGATCCCCAGGTCCCGCCTGCGAAGCCGTGTTCATCCAGCAGTTCCAGTACCATGTCTCGCGTGTAGTTGTTTGGGATGTTGCGAAGCATTACCTTGCTATCCGGAATGAGGCCGGCATCCCACATGAAGCTACGTGTACCAGCTGCACAATATGTTTGCATAGGATTCATGCGGAGAGTTGTCAAAATTCTGGGGAGGTGCTATAGTAGGGTCCCCCAGAGGAAACATCATTTCGAGAGCCTACCATGGAGGGCCGAAGCAGGCATGACTTCCAACCTGAAGCCTTTTGGGAGCCCCATGTCTGAAGAATGCAGCCGTACACCCTGAAACCTCAGACCATGAAACCCTGAACAGAAAGTCAATCGAACCCTATACCCGAAACCCTACCTATGCATGGGTAAATCCGCAAAACCTGATCACTCGGGTTTAATGATACTCTTCCAGGGACTTCCGAAAGAGAACCTCCGTTTTGTAAACAACTAAACGTTGAAATGTACATATCTACACATCCCTGGTCAACCAATTCGTATAACCCCTTTTACTGGAATCCTCTCAAGCTTCTGGCGACCCTTGTATCCAAACAGTTTCTGGCGAACCTCGTAGCTAAACAGTTACCTCAAAATCCTAGGGCTTGAGCCCTCAACCTGAACTCGATGTAAGTCCTCCTAAAACCTAGGCTTCGAGCTCTCAAACCAAACCCAAATAGAAACCCTGACACGCCTAAACTTCATAGCCTCCAACATGAATCAGATCTCCAGGAAAATTAGCCTGCAACCCCATAGCACTAGCGTACTTTAGAATATGAACTGTACTAAGAGTCGCCGTGCTGATACCAATGACAGGATTGATAATAGTATCGGGAATCTTAAGAATACTACCAATAATGATAATCATCATAATGCTGGTAGTAATGGTTCGAGGGATCTGAAGCTGGGTTATCAAGTATGAAGTAGGGCATATTTACCTGAAATCTTACGTAAGCATTGACCTCACACCCCCATTAAGCCTGAACCCTAAACCCTAAATCCCAAAACCCAAACCCTAAATCCCAGACCCTAAACCCCAAACCCTAGACCCTAAACCAAAGCTGCAGTGGTCTTCCCCGCAGAGGCTGCCGGCTGCCGCGCCAGGCGCGGAGGGGAAGCCACAGGACTTGCAGCTGCCTAAAACGGTTTAGGTTTTAGGGTCTTGGGGTAGGGGTCGTCCCTTGGGTCCCTTTAAGGGGGGATTATAGAGATCTGAAGTTTAGAGTTTATATGGGGTTAACAGGCTCGTTATTTCCTCTTCAATTAGGCCAAACTGATGGTGTTACGCTACTTCGAACCCCGCTCACTGGCTAACTAAAGGTCTCCTGAAGTATTGTTTAACCTAGGGCTCCCAGTTACCTAAATAGTAGGCTACTGCGCTCTGTAAATAAAAAGGTATATAGAACACAGAACACTTTAATTAGGTAACTGGCGCTCTAGGGTAATGGTGTTAATCTAGTGGTAACGGGTTTGTAAGTGCTGCAGGCGTCCAAGTAAGGCCCCTTTAAAGGTGCCGAACTGAAGGGTCTGCCAAAAGCCGCAAAGACTCCCCTAAACAGGCCACAACGTGGCAATCATATATCCTGGACAAGGGTTCTGTAACCAAAAGGGTCCATGTACCCAATCATTAGGTACTTGGGTTTTGGGTAATAGTAATTATAGTAAAGGTTTTGGGTAAGTATATGATTATTAGGTAGTTGGACCCTTAGGGTAACCGAATCCTGAATCATGAAGCGATCCGAAAACCCCACTTGGGTGTCCCTAAGGCCCGCAGATGCTGGGTTGGTGTTAAGGAACTTAAATTAAGTTACCATAATGGGTATATATAGTAAATAATAGGGTTTCCCCAATATAGTAACTTAATTTAAGTTCCTTAACAGCAACCCAGGATGCATCCGAACGTTGCAAACTTCCTTGGGCCGGGTAAACTGGAGTAACTGGAGTAGTCCAAGCAGTCCAAGAAGTGCGGTCTGAACACAACAAGGTCTGAACACACCAAATAGGCCAGGGTTTAGGGTTTAGAGTATAGGGCAAATAACATGGTCGCAATGGTTGCTGGTATCTGGAACAAGAATGCTTTTTAGTCTTAGTCAAAGAACCGCCATGTCTTGGGAGGTTTACGGCTGCACATCTATGACCATGATGTGTTGAGGTTACAGTAGAAGCCTAAATAATGTTACCAGGATGTTGTAGGGCAATCTTGCACTTGCGTTATGTTGCATGGGGGTAGAGAGGACAATCGGATGACTCTCAGCACTAATTAAGGGGTAAAAGCCCTTAACCCGAAACCCAGTAAGTTTTGTATAAGGGGATACCCTATACCCTAAACCCTTAACCCTATATTATATAGTCCCCTATGTAAGGCCCTATATAACCCCCTTGAACAAAGGATGTCCGCCTCAGTTGCCTGAGGGAGATCTTCCCGAGCGGTGTTGGAGCTGATCTTACCAGGTTCATAGGGATCAAGCTCATCGAAGACTCCTCTGCAATGGCAAACGCAATGAAGTCCTACTTGAAGGCCTGAGGGACCTAGTAAGTAGGATATAAACGGGTCCAGAAACAGGCTAGCCCCAATCAGCCTAGCTCGGTTGATAACCTGCTTACTAAGTCCCCTGCGCCTCTTAATGCTCTACTCCCTGCCACATGCACCTCCAAGCGTGAAAACACGCAAATGAGCCCGGCTCATTTGGGCTTAAAGTGGGGCTGCGGGTTAGGGTGGGGCCGTATAACATGCAGGAGAACCGTGCATTCAAAATGCAGAGTTGGGCCTTGTTGCTGTTGTATATGTGATAGTTTCCCTACAAGGGGGGACCCGAATACAGAACCCCAAATACTGCTATCTTTGCCTTATTAAATGGACCCCAATTTTGGGACCCGCCCATGCGGCTGTAGGGTTTGTTAGAGGTTACTCGTGCCCTTACGGTGAGACGATTCTGGGCTTGCAGCTGGTCTGATCACGGTAACTAGAGAAGTTATTTCTAGTTACCATTGTTATTGTTCTTGCTTTTACGATTATCACCATTATTACTGATCTTGCTACAGGGCTCACCAAAAATCCGAATGGAAACAGGCCCAATACTTGATCAAGGAGACACAGTATGCTGGCCAGCTGAATCCATTCATACGAGGCCCAAAAATTAGGAGTGGGGCCGGGTCAGGCCATGATACTGTTGGTAAGGGTTTAGGGGATACTAAAATTCCTGCATGACCTTAGTATACTACAACACCATAATTCCCTAGGCCCCAAGCTACTCAGGGTCATGCACGATTTTAAATGTCCACCGCACTATATGCCTTTTTTTGTAGGCTCACAGTGTTCACTCCCATCCCAGCTTTTGAGTGCTCAATCTTTGCCAGGGTTTCTATGTGAGCTATGTCTTACACTCCTAGTATCCACCTTTATGACCCCTATAATAGTCCCCTATGCCATCCCCTATATAACCCCCTGCAAGGATTGAGGACTTGCATGAGAAGCTCTAAAGCACGACAGCTATGAACACCCTGACGCCCTGCACCTGCTCAGAGCCTTGGAGGCCTTCATGCACAGCAATAACAAAAACTGTGACATTGTCATACCGGAGGCCTGGACCCCCCAAAATCAAAGATCTAAATATCAGCCCTTAGACCAAGGAAACAGGTCGGGGCCCATGTTACCGGCCCACATGTTGGCTAGGACCTTAGACTCAAGCATGAGAAGCTTAGGAACCCAGCCCCTGGTTAGGTGCAAATCCTGGATGCTAAGTCCGCAACCGCGGACCCTAAACCCTTCAAACCCTAAAACAGAAGCCTTAACACCTCACAAACTCCTAACAAGACATATCGTCACAAAGAATAAGGTCGCTTCAGGTACCTATTTCTGATAATATCTAGTGCCTTTCTTTCACCGACCTAAATCCAAGAAAACACCCTTACCCCCTTTAAGTGCACACATGCGGGATTCCAAGAATGGCAAGCCCTATAAGCCCTAAACCCTATATACTCCAAACCCAAACCCTGAACCCTCAACCCTACCAACTGAAACCTCCACATCTTCCTCGCCTGCCACGGCGGAATCCGTCTTCAGCCTACGCAGCGCGCGGAAGCGCCCTCGAAGGCTCCTCAAGGTTGGATTTTCAAGGTGCCCCGGGAACCAGAGGTGAAACCCTGCCCTAAACCCTAAACACTACCTACTTGCAGGGTTTAGGGCAGGGTCTCGGCGTGCTTTTTCTTGCTCTAGAGCAGGTGCTTTATTATGGTTTAAGGTTTAGGATCTTAGGGGTTTCAGAGTTCAGGGTTTAGGGTTTGGAGCTTTAGCACTTTGGGGCCTGGGGTTCACGATATGGAGTATAGCGGAATGTTAGGGTTCAATGCTGAAGGTTTCGGGTTTGGAGATTCTGTTCTGACCAGGATCCGGCTCAAAGGATGAGGGATTCAGCGCTTTAGTACGCAAGAATCTGGCCTTTGGTTAGCTGGGAATGAAGGAATGAAAAAAGAAAATGGAAACTACTATCATGGGTTCTATAGGGACTGCTATAACGATCCATTCCTTCATTCCTAGCTAACCAAACCCTAAGGGTCCAAGTACCTAGTCATCATATACTTACCCAAAACCTGTACTACATTTGTTATTAGTACCCAAAACCCAAGTACCAAGTTATTGGGTACATGGACCTTTTGGGAAAGATAAGGAATTGGAGACGTAGCTTCATTTTTGCAGGCATCTGCAAGCCCTTCACCGCGTAAACCTGTCCTTCAAATCCGGACCCTAAACCCTAAACTGGCCCTAGACCCCTAAATTTTGAACCTGTTCACGTTCAACCAGCACCCTCCTCTCAAAGCCTTTCTAAAGTCGAAGCTCCGAAACCGCATTCTAGCTTAGAAAAAAACTTCAACATGATATGAGCTCGTTGCTTAGTCTTAGGTGTAGGCTTTAGGGTCTAGGGCATGGTATGAACTGGTGGCTAAGCTTCGGGGATATACCTGGAACTAGGGCTCGAGGTATGCATTCCCGAACTAAGGGGTATTGCGCTATCCCTAAACCCTAATCCCTACTAATTAGCCCTAAAGCCAGAACCCTGAACCCGAAGCTTCCAGACCAGCGCCCAGGCTCCCCTCATCCTCCACATGAAGAAACCTTAGCTTCTCCAAAGGCTTTGATATTCTTGTTTTTTAGGGTCTAGGGTTCAGGGTTGAAGACTTAGGGTTTATGGATTAGGGTTTAGGGTTTAAGGCTTGTTTGAGGGGCGAGATTTCCCGCAACCAACCCCAAAACCTGACACCCTTGCGTAATACCGTCCCTGGTAAGGCCCCCTTTGCAGTGATTCAAGGGACGGTAGTCCTCGTAGGGCCGTTCTTGAGCTTCTTCCATCCTAGTTCTGAAGTTCTTAACCCCAGGACCCTGAACTGTACACCAGAAATCCTTCAGCTTACTGGGGTTTAGTCAGGATTTGGTGGAAACACGCTATATAGGGATTATATAGGGATAACATTCCCTTATTCCCTACTAAACCCTAAAACCTAAACCCTAAACCCAACCACCAGTAAGTAGGCCGTGGGAAGTCGTCTCTGTAACGAGGATTGACACGCACCATGCAGCAGAGAAGCGTACCTCGAACCACGACTTTTCCCACCTGGCATCACCCTAGAACGCCACATACCTATATATTGGGTTCCTGTCCTTAAGTCCCTATATATACATGTATACTATCTATAACCCAAGGACCTACTATATGGGTACCTGGGCTTCTAGGGTCGCACTCAAAGCGCTTCAAAGGCAGAAGGTTTAGGACTCAGGTTTTGCAACTTATCACGCTTCGAACCCTGATCCATGAAAGGGAAGGGACCTTTCCGCATCATGTCTTTTAAGGATTATTCTGAAAACTGCTAGGATGCCTTTTGCAGATACCTGCCAAAACTATGGATGACGCTACTCTGGCCACCTGCTCTTGTTGCAGCTGCCCCCCGGGAAGTACAGAGCCTACCGCCATGCCATGAAAATGCACGTATGCGGAAAACCTATGGCTTCCTCCAAAAAAAACAAAACAGCATCCCATGCTCAGAAACCCACTGAAGGCTGAATCCCAAAGCCCCAACCCCAAACCTCAATCCGTTGACCCTGAATCCCAAGACCCTAATCCCAAGGGTCCAAATACCTGGTAATCACTATGCTGGCCACATACTCGCATTGCAGTTACTAATACCCAAATACCTTCTACCCAATTATTGGGCATTTGGACCTTGAGGGCTACATGACATGAGTAAATCCTTATGTAAACCCAGGTCCCATTTTATGTTCAAGTTCTTTTCCATGTGAGTCTCATTAGTTAGCTAGTATCCCAAAACCGCTGTATGAGCCACAGTTAACCTTACCCAGGTAATTGATGGACATGGGTTCCTTATTAAGGAATCTATTAAACACGAGGCTAAACCACAAGAGGGACCCCTACATCTACCCTTGATGGTCCCTTAAGAAGGCTAATATTGACAGTAGCTCCCCTAGACCCTAAACACTAAACCCCATATCCCCTTTAAAGGGTCCCTTTATAAATCTAATATTCACTGTAATTAGCTCACATATGCTCATATAATTTTCTGGGCATCTACACTCCTTGTATTCCCCTTTAATGACCCCAATTATACTCCCTGATAATCCCCTATGTATACCCCCCCTTTACGGAGTTTAGACCATAGCTCCTATAGCCGCTCTGGGCTGGGTAACCCTGAGTTTTTTCTTCTGCCTCTGCATCAGGCCCACCGCTTGGCGTGGGCATGCGAGAGGAGCCAGATTCCTGCGCACTTCAACTTCGGTAAGGGCTTAGCATAGGGTTTAAGGTTTAGGGCTTAGGGGCCGGGATTTAGGGTTTATGGGGTTTAGGGCTTAAAGGATTTAGGGTTTAGGGCAGGGGTTGCGTGCGCATAACGTAAGTGCGTTGCAAGGCTTAGGAATTAGAGGACTTGGCGTTTAGGCATGCGTGTAATGGGAAGTATATAGATATTCTGGAGGGGTAGATAGGAATTGTACGCTTATGGGGTTTAAGGATGTTACCCACATAGAGATTCGAACGGAAAATGGAAAATTGAATGGAAACCGAGTTTTTGGAAGGGGTTATAGAGATGACGTAATGTGGGGGCCTTAGTAATACCCCAATATCATGTTCAACCTGTTTGAGCTACCCTCTTCTATGACTATACGGGCAATCTAGGACCACAATCTCGGTGTGTATCGCGGCTTGTACATTATCGGCCTCTCACTAGTACTGAAAGCCCGCGATGCTACAGAACAAAAAACAAATCCCTGATGCAGAATGTGTGCATATACGTATAGATACACACACATACAATCATGTATGTGCGGTTGAGGAAGGTTTGCCAGTACTTTTACTCATTGTCTGAGTGATTGACGTACTTGACATCAATGGCCAACCATCTCGTTGCCCTTCGATTTGATTTTTCTTATGTGCTTAGAAGTTTATCACTGTGTTCAAAATCGCAATACATTATGGACATGCCGATACCTCGACCTATCTCGTTCAATCTGTAAGGTATGCAGGGTCGCGGCAGATTACAGTCTATAGTACACGGTCCCTATGGCCATGAAGGCCGTTTAGCCTTGCAATGTCCTACCTTGTTGGGTGTACTGATACCTTCAATATAAAACGTATAAAACGTGTACACAAATACTAACACATAACGTATACATATATATATATATAGACGTATGGTATTATATAGGGTATATAGGGTTCAGG